TCCTTTCCTTCCTTTCCTTCCTTTCCTTCCTTTCCTTCCTTTCCTTCCTTTCCTTCCTTTCCTTCCTTTCCTTCCTTTCCTTCCTTTCCTTCCTTTTGGATATCAAGAGCGTGTAGATTCACATCTAGCTGCGTTCGAGATCACGGCTCGTCATTCGTGACAGACAACTGTGCGTCGCTTCGACATGTCTGGTGAAACAACCGATGAGCGACATGTCAATTGGCAGAGCGTTGCCCTCGGATGGGGTGAGCTTTGGTGTGAAAATTACATGTTTTTAGCTGTCCAGGTGGGAAAAGCCAGGCGGTGAACAAGTCCATGGTATCTTGTCGAGTTGACGCCCCCTTGCGCACATGGAGGGCATTCGACTTACACGGACAGCAACACTGACGCGATGTTTCTCGGTTTCACAATGGCAAGAATGAAGCCTTTTTTTTTCCTTTCATTATGCTAGCGTGCCGGCCAGCAGAGCACGCCGCCGGCATTCAAATCTAGCGACTACGTATGGTCCGGGGCGGCCAAGTCACCCACTCACTCACTCACGCACCCCGGATCCAGATCCAGATCCAGGTCCACCAACAAGCGCTTACGGCGAAGCGTACTTGTACCCGTACTGCTCCTTCGCCTTGTCGACAATCTCTTTGAGCGCCCTCGTCTTCTCGGCGGCCTCCCCCTCCTGCGGCTTGAGGGACGAGACGGACGGCGGGTTGGGGACGGTGAAGCCCCGCTGCACGGCCGGGCGCTCCCAGCAGCGCGCCAGCCACGACTTGACCGAGGGGAACTGGTCGATGGAGATGGTGGTGAAGTTGAGGCCGTTGACCCAGCCGAGCAGCGCAATGTCGGCGATGCTGTACTTGCCCTTGCCGGGGCCCACGATGTAGTCGCGGTCCTGGAGGCGCGCGTCGAGGATCCCGTACAGCCGCTCCGTCTCGCCGACATATCTCTGGATGGGATACGGGATTTTCTCCTTGGAAAAGCGGACGAAGTGGTTCGCCTGTCCTTGCATAGGACCCGTAGGGTTGTTAATACCAGGAGTACTTGGTGATGGTGGTTAGGGGGTACATACCAAGTCCGCCGTGCTGCCAGCCGATCCACGACTCGGCACGGGTGTAGTTGTCGTCGTCGACGGCAAAGCTGAAGCGGCGCTCCGTGTCATACCGGCGCGCCAGGTATCCGAGGATGGCGTTGCCCTCGAACACGGCGAGGCCGCCGTTGTCGTGGTCCACAATGGCGGGGATGCGGCCGTTGGGGTTCACGGCCGTGAACCACGGCTCCTTCTGCACGTTCTGGCCAATGTTGATGCCCTGCGCCGTGTACTGCAGGCCGTACGCCTCCTTGAGCTCCTCGAGCAGGATGCTGGCCTTGTAGCCGTTTGGCGTGCCTGCGCGGAGGGGGGGCGTGTGTGTCAGTAGTCCATCTTTCTCATTGCGAGATGCGGTAAGTTAGAGGGCCCCCGCGCCCCCTCCGTCGACTGGGGTGAGGGCCGCGCGAAGGATCGCGACACATGACGCGGCGGGAAGGGGAGCGACGACGACGAGGGGCAGGACAGGACAGGGCAGGGCAGGGCAGGGCACTGCGCAAGAACAGCCACTGATGCGGTCGCGCAGCGCACGGCTCGTGAGGCATGGGACGGGACGTGGGCTGGATATCATGTTATGACGTACCCCAGGTCAAGAGCTCGATGCCCTTGGAGGCGATGAGGCCGGTAGGACGCGACATGGCGGCGACGGCGTCTTCCTGTTCGGTCGTCGGGGCGGAGCGGCAGGGACTTTGGTTTGCGTGACGTATGTGTATGCGATGAATTAGACGCGCAGGGTCGTTCGGCCACGGGCTTCGTCAGTCACGCCGAGGGTTTTTGGGGCTTCTTCTTCGTCGTCGTTCACACGATTTGGCAGTCACAAACAAAACGTCTCCTCACAGACAGAGGCTTTTGGCGAAACGGGCCTTTTTTAAAGGGCGAATTGAGTTTGGGGGTTTTTTATGCTGAGGAAGCTGAACGGGCTTCCCGGGCGTTCCTGTGCTGCACTCGACCATTGATTTGTAACGTCATGGCGCAATCGTGCCCCGCGTCTGCGCTCAAGCTTAACTGGCATTAATCATCACCTTGTTCGGAAGACGACGTGCTTTGCGTTCCGAACATGGTCATGGTCATGGTCCACGGCCAACACCAACGCCCGCTCGTCGTGAGTCGTGACACCGTCCGTCCGGCTGTCTGTCCCGCGCCCGTCATCCATCCATTGACGGGGCATGTCGCGGCATCAATGCGGATCGTCGGAGCCGTTGGTTCCCCCCCCGTGGCCGAGCCTTGCGAGCGGAGGTCCATGATGGACAAATTGTCATAGGAGTCGAGAGGACCCTGGTGCTGGCTGGGCCTGGCTCGGTCGCCTGCCCGCCCGCGTGGTGCCCGCAGCTCGCTCCACGCGATGTGCAGGCGCAGCGCCCCATCTCGCCTTGCCGCGTCCCTCACAACCGGCAACTAAGCTCTTGGCTCGAGCAAAATCGACGCCCATGACGACGATGGGGGCCATTGGGGCCTGCGCGCCAGCCATGCACGCCCGGCCAAGCTTCTCACCTCCACGTCGCGGGACGGGACCCCAACAAACCAGCCAAGCATGGCATCCAAGGGGGGCCATTCGAATCGCCTCAGACAAGTCCGTCGCAACGCTGCTCTGTTCCTGATCGCCCTCGAGACCCCCCGACGGTGGTGAGGGGGGCCGAGACGAAAGACCTCGTGCGCCCAACGCGATTGATTGCATCACACGCACCCAGCAGGTCTGGTCTCGCATGCCTCCCCTCGCCCCGAGACATGGCCCTCCCCCGCCGTCGACTGAGAGTCTGCCGCGACGTGTGCTCCCCGCTCGGGACCGAAGCGTGTGTCCACGGGCACGGCGCTTCAGTCCCCCCCTCCCCATCCTCCCTCCTCTTCTCGCGCGTGCTAGGCGCACCGTCCCGCGCGCGTGCGGACAGAGGGGTTCCATTGCATCGTGGCGAAACCTGTTCGAAACACGGTCTCGAGGTCGCCTGGCTTGGGCGGAAGGATAGACGGCAGCCGCGCTCCTTTGCGGGACGGGTCGAGGCGAGCGAACTCGTGCTGGCAAAACCAACAGCGCGCGCTGGCGGCAAGCCGGACCCCCACCATCCCTGCGCCAAGGGATTCATCTGGCCTCTTGGGCAGGCAAGCGCGCGGCAGATTATGTAAATGTGCAGGGAGAAAAGGGAGCGATGCAGTGCCAAGCGGCCAAGCATCCTGGGTCGCATGCGTCACTCTCCGTTGGTCGAGCCCTGGACGTCCGGTGGGATGCGATGCGATGCCCTGGTCGCAGCCCGTCTTTATTGACGATGCTACCCTGGACCCCAGCGGCCGCGCGACAACGACGCACCCGCGGGAGGGATCACCAGTCGCAGCGCCAGCGTGGAAACGTGGTCTTGTGTTGCACTGCAGGCTCCCTCGTCCTGCGAGCAGAGACGATCGCGACGGCGCAGGCAAGTCCGGGGGAGAGGAACGGACGGCATGCGCGACTTCGCTTCATGTCAGGTCACGGCGCCGTACACCCGGATGGGCTGCCTAGGCAAACGGCAACCGTCAACCGCGAAGCCGCAAAGATCCGGGTTCCCGTCGTCCTTGCGGAGGTTCGTCGAGACTTGTTGGGCTCACTCAACCCGGTGGACGTCACGGCACTGCGGTGCCGGAGGTCAACGTCCGTCTACCGCGCGCCTTTGGGCGGCGCCTGAATGCGTGCCACGATTGCGCGCGCGGGCTTTTCACGCATCCATACGGGCGGCCGGCCAGGCGGGCGGCGCAGCAGCAGCAGCATCCCCAACAAGGCCCGCGATGCGGCACATGCTGCCCCAGAGCTCCGGATCCTTCCTCGGCACCGGCATCGGCCAGCTGAGGCCTCATGGCCCCCAACCGCCAAGGGATCGGTGACCGCCTGCTGCTCGTGATGCCCTGCGATCCTCCAGCTGGAGCCCGCTGCCATGCCTCCTCAGTGGCCAATTGGCTTCTGAAACAGCAGTCCTCGAGTCCTGCATGGCCTCGGGGGGCCCTAACGCGCCGAAAGACATGCCAGTATCAGGGCAAGTTGATCGCCAACACATTGGCCCATGACCTCAGTTCGAGCCCTCGCTCCGAGGCACCGCCGCAACGCTCGCTGGGCTGGCCGGCAGCTCCCCAGATAGAGATGATGCCCCCAAGGCACAGTGACATGCCGACATGTAGGACTTCTGGGCGAAAGATGAATTCCCAAAATATCCCGAGTCACAGCCCACAAGATCGTCGCGCCTAAAGCTGGGCTGAGAGGCACACGCCCCCCCGCCTTTGGCACCCGCCACACTGCGAGCGAGCCGTAGTATCTCGGAAACACAAAGTTCCTTCGGAGCTTGATGTGTGGCCGTCGGTTGTTGGCTCGACGAGATCTCGTACCGATGCAGGCCGCAGGTACGGTAGGAGATGAGGGTGAGCAACCCGGCACATTGGGTTCAATTAGGCTCTGCAGCGTGGGCGTGAAGGCAGGTGAGAGCCCTACCGTTGGTCACACACCCACGCCGCGGATAGACGTCTGGCTGTCCGAGACACGCCCGGCCAGGCGGCCAATCGTCCCGCAGCGATGTGCTCCAAGCTACTTCCCCCCCCCCGCGGAACCTCGCTGTTCGAGAGTGCAACCGTGCCGCGATCTGTGGGTAACCTGCTTGGAAAGGGGGAGGGGGGTTTCCCTCTGTGCGCCAGCGACGGGAGAGACGGTGGTTTCGAGCCCGGGTCCGTAACTTAAGTCCTAACTCCGCCTAAAAGAAACGGGAATGCGCGAGCGAGCGACAGCCGAGAAGGATTCACTGGCAGAGTCACAGACAAGAGGATCCCGGGGCGTGCACATAACGGCACTTCCCCGTTTTAGGTGTCCAGTTTGGCTCGGCCGAGACATGGCGAGCGAGCTTGGAGCTCGCCCGGGCTTAGCTTGTGGTTGGTGCCAGGCGGGGGGGAAAACCGTCGACGGGACGGTCGACCGCAGGGAGAACGGCCAAATGGAGAAAATACCGGGGGTTCGGGAGAGGTGTGGTCCTGGGCACAGCACGGGTTCGTCCTGTCTTGTTGATCGCCCCCCCCCCCCCAGGCGGGTGCGCTGTGGTTGTGCTGCGCCGCCCTGGCTGCGATTCCAAAGGAGGCGTCTGCCTCATACAGGGTGACATGGTTCTGGGAGCGAGAGCGAGGGCGGAGCAGGTACTCACTGGGGGAGCGAGATGGCCCTTTGCTGCGCCCAGGGAGCTCTGGCAAGTGGTTAATCATCGAAATCCGCCATCGTAGCCTTGTGTAACGTCCCGTCTGCCACGCCGTCGACCGCGTCGTGGCGATGGTGATGTGCCGCTTCCCGCGAACTTGCGAAGCCCCTCACACCACTCCCGGACCGGCGACCCCAACGCGCAAATCCCGTTCGAACAGCCTCAGGGGCAAGAGCCGGCTGCCAGGTATTCAGGGTCCACGCCAGCGCTTCAGCGAACGTGCCTTTGCCTTCTTCCTGGCCCCCAATGCCCCAATTCGCCAACTGTCTCGCCCGGCCCGTGATGGAATCGCGCCTCGCCGCTTCAGCCCACAAAGTGACCGTCGCTCGCGAGCCCCCCTTTGGGCAAGCGATTTGGATCGGAGGAATGAGCGCCTCCGCCACCGAACCACATCGGCACCTCTTTGTGGCTCCCGTGGCGACCGCGCCGGTGAGGAGTAAGGAGGAGTCTTGATCGACGGGACTGGCTCGCCGATGGAGGCGATGTTGCAGCTATTGCTTTGTGCTGCCATTACTGGATTGCGACGACTACTACGCAGTAGGAGGCGTCCGCTGTGCCATGCCATGCCATGCCATGCCGTGCGATGCCATCTGATGCCGCATGCAATCTCACAACCACGCCTCCGGCTCGTTCCCTACGGGGCAGGCGAGACGCGGCATTCTCCTTCGCGTCTCACCTCGAGAAGAAGCGGCAGGCCCGGCAGACAAAAGAACCGCCGCGTGAACGGCGAGAGGGTTGCCTTGATGCTATCGTCATCGCGGAGCGAGCCTTCATTGCTCGTCACTGCTGGCTGTGGCTTGGCCTTGAGGCTTGCCTCCCGACATGGGGGATGAGCCGCCGTGGAGTCGTGATTGCGCCCCGTTTTGCCTAAACAAGCCCCCAAGGGTCGGATGAGCCGCTCCCAGGAACGGCATATCCTGCCACGCCGCCGCCACTGCCTCCCCCCCATGGCTCCCCAGCCAGCGCCTTGCCGCCGCCAGAGGCCACTGACAAATTCTCGTGCGAGTCGAAGCGCATTCTCGGCCCGGAGATGCGCATCGTGCGCGTAAAGCCGTTGCACCTGCTGTTCGCGTGGCTAAATCGTCGGTGGAAAGCATCGCGACTCCGGTTTCCGGAACGCAATGCCGTGGAGATGCCGTGTGCACGTCAGACGAGAAATGTCGTGGCGCGTCGTTTTGCTCAGCCGGGTGCGTCTGCGTTGAAACGGCTCACGACGGACGGACGGACGGCCGGCTGTCTGACGACGCAACGGAGATCCGTGGACGGTTCGCGGCGGAGAAAACGGCGGACACCAGTCTCTCGGCCGCGGCGGAGCGCCGCCAAGACGTGGGCGTCGCTGCTCCGTGCTCCTCCACGGAGACTGCCGGCCGCCATGTCGAACTGGGTGCCGGATGGATGCCAACTGGGCGCCAACTGGGTGCGCCCTGGCGATGCCCTCGAGTCGAGTGTCGTTGCCACCATCGTCACTCCCCAAGCCATGTGCTGGTGACACAGCAGCCCCGAGCGAGACGTCTTGTCGGAAACGGTCCCCACCACCCGGCAAATCGTCCCAAGCTCAACCCCAAGTCGCTTCTCCAACCGCTGCTGCTCCTGAGGTCCTGGCAGGGCAGGGTTCCATCCCACCCCACGCTCGCCCATCCCACCCTCTCCGTCTCTCTGGCCACCCCCCCTCCCGCCCTTGCGAGCGAGCTGCCATCGCGCTTGGCTTCGGCAGCGCGTCGGCGAGACAGCGACCCCGGCACAACAGGCAGCGTCTTCCCATCAATCGCATCCGCCCAGCCGCCGCCCACCACCCACTCCGCTGCCCTGTGACAGGCCGGGCACAAGCCTCAGCCCGCCAGCCCGCCAGCCTCCGCCCGCCATCCGTCTGCCCCGGTCCCGCCTTTTCGCCAGCAAAACTGCGGCTCCCACAGCCAGAACTGGCGGTCGAATCTGGCGGGGCCCGACACGCACGGCATCGCAATGAGGCGCATGGCTTGCATTCCGACGCAGAGCCTCGCGCTCGAGTGCGACTTTGATAGATTGCCTTGCCGAACACTTGCATTCGCATTCACCTGGTTTTATCCGCAAGCGTAGCCGTGGATACCGAGACGACGACGTGCATGGTATTATTGTCTTTGCTGCCTCGTCGCCCTGGTAAAGATGCTGGAGCGACCGCGGGCTGGTTCGCGCGGCCGCGATTTGACGATTCGCATCGAGAGCGTCTCCGCCAGGCTGCGACCTGGTCGCTTGGAGCGGAGTGCCCGGTTCCACCTGTATACGTGCACGGAATGGACTGTCAACGTCAACACGTTAGCTTGGTTAGGCTGTACTCGTACGAAGCAATATGCCCATCTCCAGCGTCGTTGCGGGACTTGCAGACGCTGGGCTGGTGGTATGGAGCCAAGTGCGTGCGAGGCTGTGGTCCACGCAAGCTCCAGGTCGCCGCCCCCTCGTTGAAGGCGATAACCCAGCCCAGGGCTCCGTGACGTCGGCGTGCTGTGGCTGGCCGGTAGTGTCTCTAGCTTGCCAGAGCTCCCCCCAGCAGCTCGCCTGCGTTTATTCCAGCGAATGGCAGCGACCGGACCTCCGCCCCTGCGTGAGCAGACAGTCCCGACCGTGGGCAGTCCCATGAGCCTCAGGAGCGTCACGACCTTCAGGAATCTCAGGAAAGTTGCGCGGCGTCGCTCGCGAGACTCAATGTCCAGTGTGGAATCGTGACCCTTCTGTCTCTGATGCCGCGTGCTGGCTCGGCCGGCGACGACGAGGCGGCAGCGCGATGCAACCCTGCGACCCCTTCCGGCATGTTGTTCGATCGAACGCGCAGCCCGGATGGTACGTGGCCCGTGTGCAATTCGAGCAAATGCCAAAATCGTCGTTTCCCGAGCGCCGGCAGAACGGCCAAACATGCGACGCGACCAATCACGGGCGGTTGCGACAGCCAGGTCCCCCCCGGCCAGGCAAGCCGAGAACCCTCGCATGGGTCACGGAGTGCGTGCCATGGAGATGGAGACGGGCGGGATGGGGGACCGTGTGCCCGTCAAACCCACATCTGCCACACCCCCCTCACTCCCCTCCCCTGGTCGCTCGCTGCCTTGCTGTCGAGATGCTGGGGAGCCACGCACACCTCCCCTTCAGCCCTACCGACAAACAGAGTCGGTGACCCTGCGACACGCCAGCTTAGTTCCCCGGGTCGACCCCTCCCTGGCCAACCAACAGGCCATTCTGCAGCGAATTCCGGGCAGCTCATCTCAAATGATCCAATCTGGCAGCCGTGTCCAAGGGACGTCGCCGAATAGCCCGCCAATCCCGTCGTCGCGTCCATGGCCCGCAGTTGCATCTCGGTGCGCAGATCAAGTCGTAGATGCATCGTCCCGTTCGGCGACGCCGACTGATAGCGAAAGCCGAGTTGCCTTCCAGCGCTGTCCCGCGCTCCGTTCGCCAGCATCGGGTTTGGGACTTGGATGACGGGCACAACCTCCGAAGACGCCCGTAAACCCGGGTACTGCTGAGCGAGCACAGCACGGATTACCGAGACCAGCCGGCTTTGTCGTGGCGCCCACGTGTGTCAACCGTAGAGTTTGGCCCCCCCCCGTACGGTGTCGGAGCCGGCACCGGGTGCCGGGTGAACGGCGACGGACGGGCTCGATCTCCTGGGCTCTGCTATCAATCTGGGGGGAGCTCGACCGGAGCTCGACCGGAGCTCGCCGGGATTTCGCAGGGCCGTCATCTGTCAAAAACAGGGTCAGACAGATAGGTAGCCACCCCGGACCCCTCGGCTACGGGGCGGTTGGAATCACCCAGCCAAGCCCAGCCCTACGGGTCGAAGTGCCGGGCGTCAGCAGCCTCGTCGAGGAACGGCCGCGTAGCCGCCGAGCGAGCTGCACACTGGACAGGCTAAACGGATCTTGAGCGAGGCACACCTACAGGCTGCCTCGAACAAGGGATGATGGGGGAAAGCTGGCTCCCACGACGGCACAGAGCCGTTCCAGGCCCCCGAGCGACGCGCCCTTTGTGCGGTGGACGCCACGGCGCAGGCCAGCAGACCCGAGCCGCAAGAGGCGTAGTGCCGAGCATGATTGCGTCTGCGGCGTCTGCAGACGGTGGTGTCTTGGTGGCAGCGCCCGTGGATGGAACAACCGACAGAAGCTTGTCGTCGTCGTCGTTTGCTTCCTCAAGGAACCGCCGGCCTGAGGGAGACAAAGTGGCGGGACCTTAAGGGACCAAGGGCGTGCGTGGCACCTTCGATGTGGGATGTGGATGGAAGGGGCGTGCCTGCTTCCACCAATGTGGAATCTGGGACCCCCGCCTCTTCGCCAGTGCCTCCAGAGCGTCGTCACGTATGGGATACCTGGGCACGTGATGGGCGTGGAAGTCTTTAGCCCCCTTTTGCGCCCCCGTTCCGCACTCTCCGCGCGCGCTGCCGCCTCCTGCGACGCTGGAGCGGGAGCAGGGCGCTGGAACACAGGCAGCTCAGGGCATCGCACCGCCTGAAAGGGGGCCAACCCCCACTGATCCATGGATGCCTTGACGGTTTTCTCTTTTGGGGGTTTTGGTGGAATCACGTTGCAGGGACTCCACCGCCCACGCCATGGCCCCGGCCACTCCGCTAGTCTCCGGCCCCCAAAGCTCCTGGGGTGTTTGGAGCTTGGGACCAGCACGTACGAGTGCGAATGGGTTTTGGAGCTCCGGGGGCATGGAACCTTGGAAGAGAGCATCTCGATTTTTCGAGCTCGTCGCAAGCTCGTTGGCTTGCCCGGGCAAGCGGCCAGAGAGTTCCTCCGGCGGCCACATAGTTGTCGTCTCGAGCCTCCGATTGCGGAAGCGTCGCGGCTGTTTTACTGCCGGTTGAAAGGACATGCAAGGCTCGTTGAGGCCTCTCGTGTTGATGTTGATATTGATGGTGACGATGCAGTCCATCTGGACAGAGAGTCGTTGTCGTCATTGGCCGCCGGCCCGTTTCACCTCAAAGGATCCCGGCGCTGGATGCTGGCCTCGCATGCGCTCCTTCGCGCTGTCCTAGGACGCAGTCGGTGGTCGACGCACGCGTGTCCGACTTGCACGTGTTGGATCCTTCGCAGGTACCCAACCCGCGCTGGTTCGCTGGGACGCTGGGCACCCCCGTCTGCAACGGGAGATGCGATGCGATGTTGGCCGCTGTTTCTTTAACCGTTTAACAGGCGCCATGGCGCGAGGCCCTGCAACAAGCGCCTCCGGCCCCCTATTTTGGCGCGCGCGGTGTCGCCAGCTGCCCAACGACAGCGCGGCGCCAGATCGCTAGCCTCGCTCGGGGGCGTTTCCCTGCGGACCCCCGTCCGGGGTTGTGCAAAAGTGGCCGACTTGCCCTGCTGGGGCAAGGCCGGCTCGCCGGGCTCGAGCAGCACACCCTCTCCATCGCCAGGCCGCGAGTCTGCACGGCAAAACGCCCAAGGCTCGGCATCGGGGTGGCTCGTCAGGAGTTGTGAGAACCTTAATCTGCCCCCAGAGCGCATGTCATCATTCAATGGGCAGTAAGGCTGAGGCGTAGCCACGATCCGGCGTCACGGCAGATGCAGGGCCCCTATCCTGTGCTCGAGCATCCTTTCCCGACAGTCTGGTTGATGCTGATTATGCGCGTTGCGTTGCGTTGCGATGATGGGCAGACGACTGTCGGCGAAGCGGCGAGCAGACGAAACCTCGCCGTGCCTTTTCGGTAGGGTATACGCGTATAGGCACTACACTGGGTAGGTAGTTGGATGTCCAGCGCCGGCGAGAGACCTTGGCCCCTCCTTGGCCGCCAGCCAGCATGTTAGCCCAGCGTCGCGCAGCACGCTCAGTGGGCAAGGGAAACGAGACGAGACGAGACGGGATGGCAATGGCAGGTCCCCAGCGTTTCCCCGTCGGATCCGACCCACATGCCCAGGTGCAGTGCAGCTGGCCGCGAATGTGCTTTCAAGCGGGCGTGTCCGAACACGACTGTTTGTCTGAATGATGATGCATTTAACCTGGCAGCTCCCATAGGAGAGCCTCCCGACGGCTAGTGCACGGAAACCGTCCGAGGCTCAAGCCTCAGCGCTCTGCGTCAGGCAAGCGGGAATACTCGCACGTAGGTGAGGCTCGCGAGCAGCTGGGGCGTCCGCACCCACGCCTGCCGTGCTCGAGTGCGTCCAGTGGCTCGCTCGGGCAATAATAACGCCTGGGCTGGCCCTGTGGGACGGCCGCGTCCCTGCCCGCTGTGGAACCGGTGGAAACGGGCTGCAATGGCGCCCTGTGGGAGGTGGAACCCGTTCCGTCAACGATCAAGGCGCGGGCTGTCACCTCACGTCTGCCATCTGCCTCTGGCGTGCTCTGGGCCACGCCCACACCCACTTGCACGGCACGGCACCGAACTTTGACGCCTGCCGCTCTGTGGCCCGGACAGGGCTTGGGATCTTTCTCCGCCAATTAGGCGCGGCCGGGGTCCGCGTTGGCAGTCCGTCCAGCACCGGCGAGGACCAAGTGGGCGCGCCCGAGTTGGAGCGCGGCACGTCTGAGTCCTGCCCGGCCTGCATCTGCTGCGGGCGTCGAGTCCTGGATATCGCTGCGCTCCGTTCGCCTGCCACGCTAGTGCTCCGGTGGTCGACGCTGCAAACCTGCCGTCAGTGACGGACAGATATTGGGGAGTCGGGACTGAGACCTCGACAGCCCCCCCTGTTCCCCACCGTTGACTCGCCACAGCGCCGGGTCCCACTGGCCAATGACTTGGGTGCAACATTTCAAATTCCCTCGACTGCCTCCTGCTGCGCCGTACGTGGTGCCGTGCCGTGTAAATGGCTCCCGGCGCCATTGGCTCTGGCTGGTGCGGTTAATCTGGCAGGGCTGCGCTGCGTTCTCGTTCGGGAGAATCGGCCTAGAAATTGTGCATCGCCTTGTGAGTGTAGTTCCCCCTGGCCGGCACATAGACGTCCCGGCCCAGGGGACCTTTGCACTGAATCCCGGCAGCACTTGGTGCATCCATCCCGAAGCCCTGGTCGAATAGCCTACTTGTGTGTGGCCACGAAGCATACTGCCCAAAGCAGGAAGTGAACGAGGCATTTGTCACCGATTACCAGCAATCTGCGCTCGCAAGAAGGTTGAGCGAGACCCCTTTGGCCGACGCCTTCGTTCATTAGACTCCCGGGATTGGTGGTCGCCTTGCTGGCGGCCGTCGCATGCAATGAAATGAGCAGGACCTTTGCTGTCTCGGGACCGGAGAGCTCGACTTTTATGACCTCTTTGGGGCACCTGGGTGCTGATGAACAGACATCGGGCACTTTGGGCGCAGAACGAAGGATCTGGCAAGCGAGGCCATCTGTTGCCATTCGCGAATGATTATTCCAAACGTTGCACCCCGGACCAGACCCTTGGGATGGTAGGGCTGAGAGGGCCAGACGTTTGGCACATACGATCCCATGGCCACGGCGGGCTGGCCATTGGTTACACTGAAATGACAGACGGGATCGAGGCGCAGGCAACGGGGCCCTCGCTCCGGCCCAGCATCACGTTTTGGGCATATTGCAGCGGGTGTGGCGAGCGCCCACGGGGGTCGGTGGTCCTGTGGATCTGGGCGGAAGCGCTTCTGCTGCACTGCTTCGGGCTCCAGTCGCAAGTGTCGCCCAAGAGCTCCTATCAAGCGGGCCAGGGAGGGTTCCCTGTGGTTTGTGCAAGGCCGGGCCATGCTTGCGAGAGCCGTGGCACCACAAAACCCACACGCAAAGGGCCCTTTGTTGCCCTTCTGGCGATAGCACCATCACGAGCAGGAGGGGCCTTCAGCCGCCGGGCCGGGGACCCCGCGGGAGGTCGAGGTCGACCATGAAACGATGGCCTCGCCATGAATAGCACTCGCTTGATGCCAATTTCTCTGGGGGGCCCGCCAGCGCCAGCGCCAGTAGGGACAACAGCAACAACAACAAGGGGCAGCGGTGCTGGCCGCGGCCGCGGGACAAGCAGCGATCTTTGGCCTTGAAGCCATCTCCGGCAGGGCAGTGCGGCGTTGGCGGCTCCGAAAATGGTGTCTGGTTGTGGCGGTGTCTGCGATCTGTGGAGGCGGAGACGGAAACCAAAACGAAGACGGACAGGCGGAGGATTTTGGGGGATTCACGAGCTCCAGCGATCATCATCGCCGTCTATCTTGAGAAACGAAACAATGGGCCACATGCCTCCAGCCGCCAGCAGCAGCCTCCAGCCACGGGAGCGAGCCTGAGCGAAGGGAGAGTGGTGCCGCCTGGCGCTTGTGCGAGCAAATGAGGAGCGGCGCAGGCACGATGATGCCAACAGCAAGAGCGACTCGGACTCCTTCAAGGCAGACGCCAAAGCGCGGGCCAATCAATGGCGGTGTGGCGGCTTGGTAAGAACAAGGGGCCAAAAATAGGACACTGACAAAGCACGTGCAGGGCACCTGGGCAGGGCATTCGGGGGTCTCGGGGGCACAGGCATAGTGGATGCGTGGATGCACACCCAGCAGGTCCACTAGAGTTCGAGTGCGTAGCGACTGCGTTGTTCGTGGTAGGCCGGGCCGACAGGGGAAGGAACCCCAACTCAATCGGCAGGCGAGCGAGAAGGAGCCATGGGCCTGGTGGAGTGAGGGGAAGAACGGATCCCATGGCCAAGGCATGGCACCTGGCATGGCATGGCATGGTAGGGGATGAAGGGGTGGGTTGCGTTGCGTGGGCTCTCGCGCAAAGGGCCAAGGTGACTGACCGACGAGGCCGTTCTCAATGATGGGCCCCTCTCCTTGCTTGATGCCAGCACATCCGCCCCAACGACGCCGGCTGTCGCCCAGTCCAAGCGTGTCCTTGGACGCATGGCATGGCATGGCATGGCTCGACGTGCGAAGGATCCTCGCCACCCGCTGGCCTCGACCTCCTCGAGGCCGCTCGACGCCGCATCAGCAAGGCGGCACGCACGGAGCACAGGCGGCAACGCAGTGGGCAGCGGTTCGTTGGCCTGCGTCCCGTCGACATCATCAACACATGCCGCGCACCCAACAGTGCCTTTTTCCGGCGAGCAGGGGCCGCCAACGCCTTGGGCGCGGGTCCCAGACGAGCCGGGGGGCGCATGTCCCGCGGAACCCCATGGCTGGCGTGCGCCGTCCGGAGCTCCCAACTCCCGTGCCATTTCCAGCGAGCGTCGAGGAAGCTTGGTGCCACCAGCCCTCGCCGACGGGCATTTCCTTCTTGATCGATATGGGCTTTCTGATCAGCAATGGGGGAGGCCACGGCTCACGACTGCGCCATGGATCAAAGACACGGGCGTGACGGGTGCATGCCCAACACGGGGTCGCCAAGACGTGCAAGTGGTGGAGGTTCGGCGCCGGTGCAGGAACACGACAGTTGTTCGAGAAGGGCTCTCGCGCCCCCGCCGAGAAAGGCATCTCGGGGCGCTGAGCTGAGGGCTGCAAGTGAAACAGGCAGCACGCGCCTTTCCTCTGAGATACGGAGCGTTCCAATGAGCCACGCTCGTGGGTTCTTCGATTTGGGGGCCAGCAGGCGACGGGCTGGACGACGCTGCGTCATGCCTGTATGGGTGTGTATGCCTGTCGTATGCCTGTGTGCCTGTATGGGCCCAGTCGTCCCGCCCGTCGTTACACAGCCCTACGACGATGATGGCCCCGGCTGGCAGGATCGTCGGCCACAATCCACGGCCACGGCCTCGCTCACGATGGGGCAGAATTGGTCATCACCTATTTCGGGCGCCCGCGTCCTGGACGGACCTAGCAGTGCCTGCTGTCCATGGCTTCGCCCAGTGCTGTGCCGTCCGTCCGTCAGTCCGTCCGGTGCGCTGCAATCGTCTCCAGGGCCACCACTCGCCCCAGACGGCATCGTCCTCCAGGCGTGAGCGGCGAGGGCCATTTGGGCAAATTTAGCCCGTCATTGCCTCCAGTGGCGGGTACAGCGAGCAGCCGCCAGCCCGGAGTTGGCCTTGGGTACTCCGTACTCGCGCCAGCGGGCAGCACAGCCATCCCGCTCTCCAACAAATCGTCAACTGCACGCCACCCACGCCTCGCTCCCCCACCTCATCCGGGACCTTTTTTCTCGCACACCCCCCCTCCCCTCCCCCCCTTGACAGATCCGCCGCCTGCAGCCCAGGAGCCCAGTTGGCGACACAGCAGATCGGCTGTCAAGGCAGGACACCTCGCGGCAGCCCTGGGCGGCGGGAGCGCGAATTGCGTCGAGGGTGGTGGCCCCGCCGCCGTGCAACGCTACCACGCACGCCTCTGTGTCTCCATGGGTACCCTCGTACACCTACACCTGGGATGGGATGGGTGCCAGCCCTGCACGCCGCCCGGGGCCTTGGGGACCGCTGGGGGTGGCATGGCCCATGACCCTCCCCTCGCCGCAGGCACTCGTTGCTGGCTCGGGAGATAAATATCTTGGGAGCCGCCTCCCCTCCGTCTGGACCTCACCGAGCTCGACCATCTCTTGGATCAACATAACATATATATGCCGGCTTCCTGGTTGCGTCTGAAGAGAGCGACTTGAACCTTGTGCCTCTATAGACATAGAGTCTCACTTACACCAACCGTCTCTGGTGACTCTGCTTCCTCATCACATCGCAACAGGGCAGGCTCAACGACTGCTAGCCTTCTCCTCCCTCATCACTGCGACCTTTCTGCTCGCTCCCCTCACCCTCAACAGCCTTCACAATGTCCATGTTCGCCATGCCCCAACACTACGTCTACGGTGCGCCGCCGGCACCGACAAGACACTACTCCACACACGGCACCAGCAGCGCCTTCAGCAGCTCTGCCCACCCCGACGAGGACTGGACCAAGATCTCCGACCTCGCTGAGCGCCGGCGGATACAGAACCGCATTGCCCAGCGAAATTACCGTATGTCTTGTCCCAATGAGCAGAAGCCTGAAGACACTGGCGCTAACAATGCTTGCAGGCAAGAAGCTCAAGCGACGAATGGAGGACCTCGAGCGCCGGGCTGGATCGTCGGACGAGGCAGAGCCCGAGAAGAAGCGGACGCCCAGCCCCAGCAAGAGCGCCAAGCGCCCGTCCGCGCCCAAGGCGCAAAAGGCACAGCCCGCGCCGATGCCTTCGAAGCCCATTGTCCAGCAGGGCCAGTTCACCCCTCCCATGGACAGCACAGACGAGATTGTCTTCACCGCGCCCATCTACGGCGAGCGCGAGCGATCACACACGCCTCCCGTCTTCTCCTACACGCCATACCCAGCTCCGGACGAGCTCCTGCTGGACCCCTATGGCTCCGCGCCCGCCTACCCGAGCATGTCTGGCCCTGCAGAGCCATACCCCAACTACCTCACCGCGCCAGCCTCCATGCCGGCGACGCTTCCCTCGATGACGCACTTTGCGGACGCCATGAAGCGGGATTCGTACCCTAGCGACGATGGCATGAGCTCCTACCTCGGCTACGGCTTCGTCCCGGGCGTCGAGATGAACATGCCCAGCCCCTACGACGCCTCCAACGCTCATGTGAGTCTGGCTCGGCGTCTCCCCCACCAGCGAAACGTGTCGTGCTGATGCGCGGACCAGACGCCGCCTCTGTCCAACTCCTTTGACCACTCGGCCTCTTGCTCTGAGACTGGTTACGACTACCCGACGACGCCCATGTCCATGCCTGGGTCTCCCGGCATGATTCAGCAACAGCAATGATTGCGCCAGACACACACAAAACAGCTTCAATCGATGAAGCCAAAACACGTCCATCTCACCAGAACATCATACCTCTCTCTTCATCCCTCTCCTCTTTCATACTCCTTTCCCCCTCTGGACAGACACGGCGTTGTTGAATCTGGTCGGCCGGGTCCAAGCCTGATGATGGGTGGTGGAATGGACCAGCGTTGAGATCAGTTGTGTTTTTTTTTTTTTGAGGCCCAGCCATGGCGTACGGAGATGGACAATGGCCCCGCGAGGCATTGCGTGGGGACTCCGAAGAACGGAGTGTTAACTGGTTTGCTTCTTTGGTTGCGTTGAGGCGCCGGGTTCCGGGGTCGTGGCGACCCGCCGGCAGGTACCACGACGAAATGAGTCTCCGAGGCTTGCCATTGGGAAGATTGCTATTATTGCCTGGCGTTTTGAGGGGCGACCGTGCTTCGGCGGCGCCGGGGCTGGAGCGTCGGCGTTGACTAGCACGTTTTTTCTTGGTTATACTTGGACTTGGTACAAGAGTAGATATCCGTTGCAAAATGAAAGGATAGAAGCACCGCCGAGTGCTCCGATTTGAACAATTACAAACACGAGGCACGATCTACACTGAATGACACGACGCGACGAGACAAGTTTCCTGGCGCTCCTACGCTCGCTTCCTCTGCCGCCCTGGGCGAGCTCAGGTGGCAGCCCGGATGCAGGTGCTGCAGGTGCTGCAGCTGCGCGTACAGCCGCAGATGTTGTCTCAGCGTCGAGGCCCTGGAGGCTACCTACGCGGCGACGATACAACACCAGCAGCAGCAGCAGCAGCACCGTGACGACTGCCACGCGCCGCCTTGCCGGGCGAGACGACAGTGTGCGCTTTCCCCTCTAGATCCAGTCCAGTCCAGTCCAGTCCAATCCCCCCTCCACCAAGCACCACAGAAAAAAAGAGGCCCCCTCCGTCGATCGCAGCGCCGGCCGGCTCACGGGGGCTCGGGACCGATTGGGGGGACGAGAGGTGGGCATGTGGGCACACACACACATACACACGGCGATGAGTCGAATCGAGTGGACCGAACCTGACGGGATGATACGTACGTGCTGTCTGTCTGTCTGTCTGTCTGTCCTGAGAGCATGTGGATGGGGGGGGAGGGGAGGGGGGTACGCAGGTAACTATGTCTCTGCTGCTGCTGCCGTGTAACGCGAGCACGGCGGGCCCAGCTGGGCGATTTGCCTGCCCGCGCAGCAGCAGCAGCAGCAGCAGCGCACACCCCCGGTTGTGTGTTCCAACAGGTTGTGTTGTGCGCGTGCGCGTGCGAGATGCTTTCGGACAAACGAGGGAAGCCGATGGCCTGCGTCAAAGGCCCAAGCAAGTACGTTACAGGGGGGACTGGGACTGGGACTGTTCCACAGCAGGCAGGCTAGCCTCCACTCTCCCGCCCAGGCGTACTGTTCTCAGTTTCTGTGGGCAGTAGGCAGTATGTAATTCGTATGAAAGATTGTAACTGAAGTGGGTGTGTTGCGTCGACACCTCGCAGTGTGGTGGACTGGACGCATCACACAAGACGATGTCGGTTTTTGGCCCGACTTAGCTCATTCCCTAGACGACAATATCAATGCCCTCGTTTTTTCTGTCTGCCGCTGCACTGTGTCTCGCTGTCTCTCGCTCTCGGGTTAGCCGGTCGGGCGCAACGGGACGCCGACCCAGCGGGGTGCTTGATACCTTAATTGATACCCGGCAGCCCTCCTGCCCAGGAGGCGTTCGGGGCTGGGGCTCCACGTACGTACTCCAGTTGCTCCCAACGTATAAAGTACGATAAGTGTGTGTGAGGCTTGCGGGCGGCCTGTGTCGTCGCGTTGTACAAAGTGCCGGCGGCGAGCAGCGCTGGGGAACAATGCCAGAATATCGAGGCAGGTTACCTTTGGGGCTGGCGCCGGGCCCTTGCGTGTAGGACGTACGTACGTACGTACATGCCACACGTCACTGTCGGTAACGACTGAGAGGCGCTGAACTGCACTGCACCTTTCAGATGGGCTGAAGCAAAAAGGGGACCTCTGCTCAGTGCGGTAGGGAGGGGGCGTTGTCGTAGAAGATGGCGGCGGGACAGGCTTCGCTGCTGGGCTTCTGCAGGGCTTCTGGTGCCCGGGGCAATGCTGCAGAAATGGCGGACGACGGGCGGCGAGGGGAGGGGCCAAGGGGAGGAGGTGGTGATGGTGGGCAGGGTGGTGTCATGGCTGGGGCATGCCCGGGAACCCCAGGCCATGGGGCTCGAAACGCTCGAATGAGTATTCGCCGAGCCAGCAGCACGACGATTTCGACCGGGGGGCGCGCATTGCGTTGGTGGTGGCAGACGCACTTCGGGGAGGTCGGATAGGCCGAAGTACGATGGATGGGACCTCATGGGAGGGGACCCTGCCGCCTGCTTTGCCTTGCCTGCCCTGCCATTGCCTGGGGCGCCGCCGCCGACGCCCGCCGGCTTGGATGGATGGGAAATGGAAGCAGCCCGTGGCTGCGGCCGGTCCAGCCCAGCCCAAGCCCAGCATGTGTGCGCATACGTACGCGTATCAAAGTACGTATACTTATGTCCGCAGGTATGCGTGTGCGTCACGAGTCCGATAAGTCCGGAATAAAGCGAACAAGGTATGGGGACAGAGTTCAAGCCAGGGGGATGGATGGATGGATGGATGGATGGACGGACGGATAGGATGGATCGCGGGCCGCGAAGGCAAAAAAAGAAGTGCAGAAAGTCCAGAGTGGCATCACCAGGCGCTCTGCGAGGTGAGCCAAGGGTTGGCAGGCAGGCAGGCGGAGCTGGACCCTCGCTGCGGTACGAGCACGGGCACGTTTTGTATTGCACAGTTGCAGAGTGCAGGAGGCAGGAAGTACACGCAGCACGCAAACGCAGGCGAAGGGGTACTTGCTCGTACTCTTCGGGAATGCGGGATGCGGGATGCGGGCGCTGGTGCGGAT